CGGATTATCAACTCCCTCGTGGACAAGCTGTAACCTGATATATGTCTGAGAACCCTGCTAGTTGTTAATACTCCCATCTCATCAGATTGCTATCCTTATCCATCTCACCCATTATCTCCGTTTCCTCTCCTTTGCTCTACACTTCTTTCCTCTATCACAATATTCACTACCAATATTAATCAACTAAATTATCTAGTTATTTACTTAGTTCTGAAATCTTAATTAACATTATACTTTTCTCCCTTATTATTCTCCACATTGAACTAATGTCCGGTCTGGTAATGTGATAAATACTGGTATCCAGAAAACCTACTACCCTAAAACAAACGTTTTCATTCAATCATAGGACATACAAACTCACAACCCATCTGCCAAACTGTCTAGAATTAGACAGTCGAGTGGCCTAGACCCCTCATTCATAATGGACACTACCAAAAACCAAGAACTGTATCGAAAGAACAAGAATTGAGAGCAAAGAAATCGTGCGAGGTTTACACTAGCTCGTGAAAAAGTTATTGGATATGGATGCGTCAATTGTTTTATCACACCGATTCATTTACATATCTCGAATGGCCAACGCTGATTTTATGAAATCGTGCTGAAATGTGCCCATCGAAATTTTCAAAATTTATTTTACTTATTATGTCCTGAAAATGTTTAACTATCATAGGGTAATAATTTTTTCATTAATTTATTGTAACAGGCCGCAAGACTGTTTTCAAATGAGCGGGTCACTAAAGAAATATGAAGATGTAGTTGAAGTAACTGAAGAACACTAAAATATACTTATTTATATTTTTTAAAGAGACTGTCAACGCCCACTTTCAGTTGTAGTTCAACTGAGAGATTACCTCCACTTCCACCGATTGTGAAGCCCGAAGTTCCATCCTCACTTTACACTGTATGTGAAATTATTTGATGAATTTTACTTTTCGACATCCAGATAGTCACACGAAATGCTATTCATCCACCCTTAATGAATGCTTCTACCCTGACAAAAGCTTCGCCATTCAAGGAACAAAAAACACTGTCGTCCTCCAAGTCACTCCATTGGAAACAATTTTTCTCCAAATGCTGCTAACTTATCAATGCAAAATCTAACTAAATCTGGTGAAATATCTAAGATACCGAGCAAAGCTAACAAAGAAAAAAGATGAATCTAAGAGCAAGTATGAAACGCGACATGCCTCGGGCATAATCAAGACCTAATTTTAAATTTTTGTAAATATTTATAATTTTTTACCCAGTCTTCAGTTTCAAGTATAATAGGTTAGTTAACCCAGACAACAAGAATGGGGTTTCCTTCTAAGGGCTGCAAGTATTAAGGTTAATATCGTTCATCCAGCAGGGTATTCTTCTCACTGTATCTATTAACCACAAAGTTTCTACTCGATTGTGTACGTTTTATCACTTGTCAGCATCTGCTCGGTTATTTGAATAATCATCTATCCTCTACCTTAAGACTTACAAAAATCTCTTATTTAGTTTTTTGAAAAATCATATGTTAACTCTACAGGTCTGTTCAGACAAAAGCAATCTCGTTGTTGTTCTGCGTGTTTAATCTCTTCGCATAGAATTTAAATTACTTCAGTGTATACTAGTGAAATTTACCTTCTGAATAGGGTGCTCTTGTGCTCATGACTTATGATACATTAAGTTTACTCACAAGTGACATTCCCTTAACTGGTAATCGTTATAAGTCGGTCAACATATGCATAGAATCCAAAGGGGAATACGCGTTTAGATGCTTAAAAACGTCCCATGTAATATACTTCCTGTGATCACTAAGCACAAATAGAAAACAGTATAGGTTACGATGCTGCATAATGGCTCCTTCACTCTAACAGGCATTTTAATACCTTTTAAATTACTATATAGCTTTGCTGTTTAAAAAGCATAACTGAAATACATTATGTAGTTTGCATCCCTATCTTCCTCACTATCTCAGTCGTCTTACCTGGCATCAGTTTATTCGTTATAAATTCAAATACCTGGGTATGCGAAATGTTTAACGAATATTCAAAAAAATAAGAATGATATCCTGTAAAATGAATGATTACAGGTTTAACAAAATTTTCATGTGATTTATTTTCAAATAAGTTCTAGTTTATTTCTCTTGTTCAGAGAACTAAAAGTTCTAAACTCCTTTCAAGTATCCCACTACATACTTTTTATCTTAAGCTAAACTAGATGGTTGTAATAAAAATTAGTTGATCTAATAAGCTCTCAAAAAATGTAGATTTGTAAGAGGATATTTTCTGAATGCAAAAGTTTGAGATAACTGATATGAGGTCCAAAGACTTGGTATTTGAGCATGTTGAGTGTTAACAAACAAAATAGATCTGTAACTTTAAAAGGTCTCATACTTTTTTTAAGAAGTTAAACCAGAAACACCCTCAAAGTATTTCCATCTTGTCCATACGTATGAACTAAATAATGGATAAAAATAAGAACTTAATTCCTTATTAATGACTCGTGACAGAATGACACAAATATTCCTTCATGATTATCAACGGTTTAAAAAAGAATGCTAAAAGAAGTAGTTTTTAAATTTAAAGTAGACTATCAACTAGTGAAAAATTCCCTCATATTATTTTCAGGATTTTCATAAATATGCCACTGGATTCATTTAAGTACTCATAACTGATTTTAAGCAAATTATGGTACCCGTCGTTCTGGGATATTAAAGACAACACATCCACACGAACAGCAAAATAAATAATGTCACGTATTGTTTCAGCGGCTTTCAGATCTTATTCAGTTTACTTTGGAAACTGAAACTGGAAATGATGTAACGCGAACAAAGAAACGCAACAATTTCAGCTTTAGGCATCGCCCAATTACTTTTGTTCAGTATCTTTGATCAGCCATGCAGATCAACCTTTAGATGCTTCACTGCATCGATCTAATTTCTGGTCGTATACTAGTATAAATTAACCATTGCACAGAATGCATTCACATGTTTGTTTGATTGCAAAGGTTAATAAACAGCAAATAAATATGATTTCCATCGCTGTCAAGCAAAATCCGATAAGAATCTCAAAAGTAAGTGTAAATTTAAGGGATTCAAACTACTTCATCTAAAACGTTTTACTAATTTTTGCTTCATTTCATTTGGGAATCATAATCTGACCTTTAATCGGTAGTCTATGGTCTACATGACTGTCCGGATGCTTCACGGCTTCCTCTTGCTCTTTGCATTTACTACTCCATGATAACGTATTGACCAGTTCTAGTTGTATAAGTATGTCGGTTTCTACTATATGTTTGATTTCAAACTATTACAGTTCATAAGCAGCTGAAAAGAACCTGGTTAAATAAAATAAATTCATATTACTGTCGAAAATATTCCAAAATATCCGGTTATCGACATTTTTGACTTGATTTTGTTCACTCCCTTTTGACACATGTGCATTCCTTACAGGTTGCCGTGATAAATAAACCTAGGAATAATTTCATTTCAGGACTCGAAATCTTCTCCCTTAGCTTCAAGTGCCCAGAAAGCTGTTTTCTGAGCTACTGACTCGAGATTATCAAGAATATCACTAACGGGGTATATCAAATTCTTCTTATTAGTTATATAAAAATTATAATTTCTGAATAAGACATTGGCTCTTTGGACCCAGTAGATCAGTGTTAGACTATAGTAAAGTTTTATTTCCTGAGTACAAAACGTGCTTAGAACTGTTACTGGTTTTAACTTTAGGTACAAAAATAAAAACTAGATTGCGAGTTCAATCAGATGATTGGTCCTAAACAAGACACAATGAGTCTCCTGGATCTCACTACTAGCTGTAATCTATTTTTTCCGTGATAAAATGAATTCATTTTTACAGTGCTTAGATCTCTTACGTTCATAATATTACATTAATTCATTTTTTTCGTTTAGGGACAATTCTAGAGCTGTGTCTCCAGAAGAGCAGATTAATCAAATGAAAACATTAGAGAAAGAAAGAAATTTCAACCGTCAGAAACCATCAGAGAGAGATCTAGAAGTAAAAGAATGATTTTATAAGTATTACTGATAAAAATATTCTCTATTCACATAATCCGTAAGCTGTATTCGTTAAGGGTTGATGTCATTTGGATTAACATTGAAAACTAAGGAGCGTTATAAAGTTCTTTTTTCCTGAAACGAGAATCTTAATCAGTTTGTATCCATGACCCTTAGTCCCTAGACTTTAAACCATCGGATCACAATTAAATAGCTCTGATGAGAAGCCATGGCTAGTGGGATTCAACCATATTGGGTTGTAGTCAGCAATGTAACAACTGCATTGGAGAACAACTGCTTAATATCGTGGATTGGTTAAAGCTGATAATCTATTCAGGTTAGTGTGAACTCGATAGTCTGAAGGTTGACAGTTCATCATATGATCCGTGAAACTCCAGAGTTTTGCCCCTTGTGAAGTAGTGGATACTCACTACTAAACAATTCCATTCGGAAATCAAACAGATATCCAGTGCTTTCTGACTTTCTACGTCTACCTAAGGTCAATCTGCTATGTAAATTACAAAAAATAATGTTATCATCATTGCTATTAGAGATATTTCGAATATCATGAGTCTTTAAAATGTTCAGTCTGCTACCAACCTCAGTCAAAAATCTATCTCAACCTCATTCTGTATAAGCTATTTACTTTGATGAACGAACTTACAAAACCCACAAATTTCTTTAACCAGAAAATTTTGTTGCTATCTTCGATAAAAAAAGTATGCGAAACTTATTCGATTGTTCACTCCAGAATCAGTCAGTAAGTCAGTTATGACGTAGAACTTCGTAAGTAAGTATATCAGTTCACGTTGCCACACCGCATTAGCACAGAGATGCAAATGTCAGTTCAAATCCAACAGCGGTAGCGATAGTAGAAGTATTAGCAGTAATGGGGAATATTAGGGTACGAAGAAATGACTTGAGAAGAATAATTCAGTGAGATAAATTTTAGAAGAGAAAGAGAGAGGTGATGAGGGATTCAAGTTAGAATTTGTGGGAACACAAGGAATGTGAATGCACCTACGCCACTGCAAACGATTTTGAGTCACGTCGTTCAAGGTCTCTAACCATCGATGACTTTCGTCTCGCGAACCCCAACCAGGTAGCCTACATCTACCACTTCAATTAACCGATTCCGATGACATTTCACCATAAGCTCTTAAGCGTCCGGTGATGTTCGAGTAGAGAGCGTGTAAAAACCTAATGTACTTCTCTGGTACAACTTTTGATGACAGACACTGCCATAGAACCTCACGATCAACTGAGTCGAATGCCGCCTTAAGGTCGAGAAATACAACTATTGTGGGGCATATGAACGTGTGTCTCTGTTCTAGGACCTGACGTAGTGTCAATATGTGTTCTATACAACCACGTCCAAGTTTGAAACCAGCCTGGTTTTCTCCAGTCTGCTCTTCACGAGCTCTAGTTAGGCGTCAAAGTATTATTGAGGCCAATATTTTAGATACTATATTAGTTAGACTGATTCGCCTGCGATTGTCACAAGAGGACTTTTGTCCTTTCGTGTAGACTGAGACAATCAGTGATTGAGACCAGTCAGACGGGATTACTCCCAGTTCCCAGATTCTGCCTAAAGTCTCAGTAAATCTAACTGTTAAAAACTGGACCAACATTCCTAAAAATCTCAGGGATCAATCTATCAGGTCCTTCTGCGCTCCCTCGCTTCAGATTTCCCATCGCTTTCTCGAATTTATAAAGACGCGGAGGACTTACGTCGATTTGTCATTCAGGTTGACGAGACCGTGGGCAACCGAAGTGTGTCTGAAGGCCAGTTGAACTGATCCCTGAAGTATTCTGCCCATCGATGCAATCTCCTGGATTCAGAATGAATAATAAGACCATCCTTTTATGAGATAGTTTCTCTAACATATGGATTTCTTATACCGGTATTCTTGAAAAGTCGGACCAACTGTCTACTGCTGCCTATCACCGTCGCCTTTACCATCGCTCTCACTTTCGTCACCCACCACTGTTCGTGATCATTGCGTAGGCTTTTTATTAGCCTGCGCTTAAGTTGACTTCGCTCTTACTCATGTCCAGAGCCAGGTGGAATGAGCTTACGAGCACCTATCTGTTCGGTGCATGCTATTGACATCCACGGCTTCTAACTATCTTTATGGTTTACCTTACTAGCAGATATCACTGCTGTTTCCACAGCTTTTTGGTATCATTTGAAGCTGCCTCAGGGTGGGCATCACTCACTAAATGTTTTCCTAATTGTTTCTGAAATATATTCTTAGCTTCATTACCATTAAGTAGAGCCCTGAGAGGTTTCCTCGTGAGACGCAAACAAACACGCCCTCTCACTAGGGGATGATCTGAATCTAAACGTGTACCCCAGAACGAGAAACAGCCCTCTATTAAACCACTACATCGGTGGCTGATGGCAATGTGATCTAGTTGGGTCCAGCTTTGAGACTACTTTGGCGCGACATCATAGGATCCACCCAGGTGTCTTTACTTTTCACTTAGTCTACCCATTTGAGTATGAAAGTCACCAGCCATTATTACTATATCAGAGTGCTTAACCTTTTGGAGGAGGTCCGAAAGCTTCCTGTACAACTCATCTTTCACCTCGTCTGAACTGCCGTCAGTGGGAGCGTAGGTAGATACGACGAAGAGGCAACAGCTAGTGTCCCCGTCTTTGCGAGCCCTTACTGTCCCGTTCAGTCGGACAGCGCACAATTAACTATCAACTGGGATCCAGTCTAAGAGAGATAGTTCTGCCCTACAACTCAATGCTATACCTAACCAGCGAGACCCCGGGAAGCAGCATCAGGGCTACCAGATACACGAAGAGTAAATCGGGCTGCTTCTTTGTTTTGACAAGGTGAAATCAGATTAATGACTTTACTAGGATCCTGTATGTGCGTTTCCGAGACGCAGCATACATCGATGGCGCGAGATTCTAAAATCCTAGCTAATGAAGCCTATTGCCCTACTGGACACAATGTCCGTACATTAAATGCCGCAACATGTAATTTAGAATGGAGTTTCAGGAGACCAAAACTAACGTTTCGTAAACTCGCATCGTTTGCATTAGCGGTGCTGTGTGATAAAGGGATGTAAGAAGAGTTGGCCGTGGAGATGAGAGATATGTTAGGGGGTGTAGTAAGGGTTTGATTGTGACCAATTCGGCCTTGTGTGCTTTTATGGGTATGAGGACGGATGTCACTTCCCGACTGCCCACGCCGTGGAAGTGTGTTTCTTGAGGAACCTGAAAAGGAAGGTAGATTAGTATTGGTTTTAACGACCGCAGAGTACAAGGGACAACTGCTTGAGGCCGGTCACAGACGGCCTTTTTATGAGAGGATTTTAGAGTTTTAGCTCCGCTCTTGTTTAAAAATCCTTACCACCGGAGACGGAAATCCATGAGGTAGGGTGAGGTGTGACATTTTTAGGGTCAACCTTTTCTAACCCCTTCCATCCTTGTAAGAAGGCAGCATCGTTGCTACTGCTTGTTGTCCGAAGCAACACGCCATAGTATAGCGCTGTTTGTAATATATAAATCCAGTTAATCATAGTGTTATTAGTGACTGAGAGTAATCAATGATTTAGTGACTAAAAATATTTAGCAATTTGACAGGACCAGCAGAACCTAGCTCTTCTTATTTAGCTCTGAACAGCCAGGTAATTATTATTAATGTTTGTTTACTAATTAAACTAAAGAACATCTAACAATTCAAAGCATAGATGACAATCACTTTCAAATTGTATAAAGCATTTATAACTGTCAAGTACGCATTTTATTATTTCAAATATGCAAAATTGATTTGTTATTCTTTCTCATAATCACTGATTTAATTATTGTTGATTGAACCTTTTATTTTATATGTTTATATTTTGTAACATAGAGATATGCTTATTATATAAATAAAGGTATACCAGATTTTATGCTTGCTCCATTGCCTAATGAACTGTGGGAAAAATTACAACAATACTTACCGCTACGTTTGAAATTGAAATGGCCAACTCACTTAGATGATTTACGACAAGAAATACATGATTATTATGTATATGCTGTAAAAAAATCTATCGGTAAATAATACTCTCATATTTTAAATAATTATTTGATTGATAAGAAAAAAAGAATCTAACTAAGTTATTTATATTTATATAATTCATTATAATTCAATTTCAAATGGATTGGATAATAATCCGGTTATTGGTATTTATGATGGAAATTTACTGAGTCTTGATTAGTCTGTAAGCATCCTATCCGGATTGCCTCGATCTTATTTGTACATAGGATAGATAGAATGTGACTAGCAGATCGGACTACAAGAATGATCAGTTGAAATATCAACCACAAGATAATGCAAATCATTGAAAATTGAATTACACCTGATACATTTTGCACAAGTGAAGAATGGTCACCTGATCTTAGTTAGTAGCTAATTGAAGATGGCGTTCAAAATGAACGATACTGGGCTAAAGTCTCGAAGTGAACACCAACTCTGACATACAGGCACATCTAACTACAAACACTTACAAAATATGATGAAACATACTTCCTGGATTCCATTGCTAGTCACATTCTATCTAACATGGATATTAAACATCATTTTCAATCCTCATTACTCTAATTCCTTGCATCATCAATGTTAACTGCTTCACATTATATCACTCACACCTCAATGCTACAGTTTATTGTATTTATAATTGATGAGAAATCATGAAATAGAATGAACTCATATTATTCTGCTTCAATTGTTATTCTGGATTTATTTAAATTCCTTAAGAGAACCAATTGCATAAACCATTTTTCTCATGGAACAAAAACATTTTTATAAGTAAGCAGTAAATGAACGTCATTTGCTATTCCAAACAAATGAAGTCGTTAATAAAAGTGTTAAATAATATGATATTGATCATTATTATATAATTAATTAATGTAAGAGTATCACAGTTGTAGAGGAGGTAAGTTGCGCATAAGTCAGAATACTGATAATGTTTATAACTAGAATACTGGATAACACAAATTCAAACCCAATCCAAGAGGAAATGTATTCCATTCGGCTTGTTAAGTACTTCGTTCTAATAAATCTTCTTCTTCAAAGTATTCCTTTTAGCAAGCTTTTAACCAAAATGATGTTAAGTAATATGAATATTGTTTTACAGAAAAACTCATTTACTATAATGCATTGTTTATTCTTTATTCCTTAGTCGATTATATCCTATTTGATCCGGAAGAAAGGAAAAGATTATTTATTGAATGGTTACCTATTCCATATCCAAATTTTGTAATTCGAGCTCCTGTTCCATGGCATACAAAACGTAAAAAAGCATATGAATTCTGTAAACAGTATTTACTTACAATTGGTCCAGTACCATTAGCACTACAAAACATTTGGCGCACAGAGTAAGTAGACTAAAGATATTTAATTTTTTTAAAAAGTTGTCAGTAGCTAGCACTGAAATCCGGGATGCGCTTTTCAGCCCATTAGGGACTCGCTAGGATGTACATATGTCAATGACACTGGTTAATTCCTGTCTTAAAAATCAGTGAAAAGATTCAAACAAGCAATACAAATGAATTAGTCTTCACTGTATTGCACAAGAGGGTGGCTATCTGGACTCAATAGCTAAGTGAACAGCCAGATGGCGTTTGAATCTTAAAGCACTGATTTCCAGTCCCAGAGCGAATATCAACTCTGTGTTGCAAGTACATCCGACCGGCGAGACCATGACTAAACGAAACTCGCTTCCTGAACGAAAACAGAAATATGGAGTATTTATTCAGAAAATAACAAATAATTGGGACAAAATACACAGAAAATCATGTATTATGAAGGATGTAAAAGACATCTGTATTAATTCTACTCATTCTGGAACACATCGCCTAAGTGTTTCACCGTTGGACTTTGAACATCACTCACTAGGATGTCTATAGGTTCCAACAAGGTTTCAACCGGTGATAAATGATAAATAATATTGATTCGGACTTCCTTAGACTTCTTTCTAGGAGAATAGTTATCTATCAGTCATATTTCAAAGCATGACGTTAGTTTATTGTCGTTGGCTTGAAATGTTTGCAAATTAGAAATCATGTGCCTTCCACAATCATATTACTTTGTCAGGTAGAAAAAACTGCGCCTGGAGCCCCTCTATGGTAACCGCCAGGACCCAAGGTCGGATAAAGGTGCAGGGTTGAGCATAGTGTTAGAGACAACATCCCGTAGAAATCCAACTCGTTAAAAATGTTAACCAGAAGAAATAATTCGCTGGCCGGCAGCCTATGCTCCATTTCGGTTAACAGGCATAAGTAATTAAGTCGGGTAGAAAACGATCCTTTATCTCCTCATCACAAAGACCGCTGACATCAAATTTTCATGCCCTTTTTATTTTCTTAACTTATAGATTTTCTCATTTACGTTTTGTAAATTATGATGAATTAGCAAATCTTTCAGAACCTTTGGAACCAATGGAATTTGAACGACTAATCACTCAACAATGTCAAGCAACGAGAGAAATATTACGAAAAAAGTAACATTTCTTGTGTTGTTTTTTCTGTAATTATCTATGGGTTTTTTTTGTAAGTTAACAATTTACAAAATAGTAAAACAAATACGCTTATCTATCTTCATCTCATCTGTATACAATGCACATTTCAACTTCAAAAGAAAATGAGAAACAGAAACATACACTAGTAAAAATTATTTCAACTCCATAGAATACGTGACACGTGGTGACTAAATGTTTCAATGTTTCAACTGATTGAAATTTGAACATAGGAACACTTCATAATTGCAGCTTATCTATATTAGAAACAACACATTTATTTAGAATCATCAAAAATGATTGAATTGAACAATTTAATGTTCTGTGTGAATAAAGTAGATAAAATAACTGTAAAAGTAGAATAAAAGTGAACTATGCTCTGTTATGGAAAAATGAAGTTAGTCGTTCATTTTATTAATAATAATAGCATTAGAAAACTGTTTCATTCTAGACATAGGGATTCTCAACAATGCACATCAACAACTCCGAATACGGGGATTGAACCTAGAATCTTCAGTTTCGCTTGCAAGCGTTTAACCACTAGATCACTGAACTGGCCTCCAATGGAGGGTAGCTTTCTCACAACCGACACAGACTGATCTCTATTGATAAGCTAGGAAAATGATACATAAACGCTAAAGCTAGTTTCCAGAGGAAGTTTTCGGAGTTTCTATGCGAAGCCATGACCAGTAGTGTTCAATTCTTGTCAGTTGTGAGTTATTTATCCACCATAGGCTAATGGACGATGGCTGGGCAAGATCATAAATTTATTGAAATTAGATATTAACACTATTGGATGCCAGTTCAGTGATCTAGTGATTAAGCGCTTGCAAGCGAAACCGAAGATTCTGGGTTCAATCCCAGTGTTCGGAGTTGTGGATGTGCATTGTTGAGAATTCCATATATCTAGAATGAAACAGTTTTCCAATGCTTTCAGTCTTTTCTAATGCTGGTCTACCTAAGATTATTAGTTCCGAATTTCAACTGTGAAAGTGATTCTTTTTCCAAAGATCACCTATACTAGCAACTTACATATAATTATCTCAAGATAATTATCTTAAGATGTCAGGCAAATATAGCTCTATGTTTATAGAAAATTCGGTATTGAAGAGCAACATAAATCTGAAATCACTGAATGAAAGCGATAAGACAACTGAAGATTAGTATAGGTTTTACAAAATGCATTGGACCAGTGTTGAGTACTATCGGTTTTTGAAAGCGTGATAATGAGAAGAAAGTTTATGCAGATTTGTGATGGTACTCCTAATTGTTGTTTTTAAAATGATATTCTTTTGACTACTTATCAAAAGTAATTTCAACTGCTACATATAACAAATTTATAATATCTCAGTTTATCTGTTCAAAACATGTTCTGTTGTCCACATGGTCCATTTAAATATTTATGGATATCATGATACTAGGAAATTAGAATGTGCAACGTTTGTAAGGGACACTTAAAATGGCTTAAATTAAGTTTCTAACCGATTTATAGTTGACCTAAGCTGATTTTCAGATGGCGTTACCAAAGAACAAATGACTGAGTGGTTAAGGTATTAAAAAAGCATATCATGCTACTAATAACAAAGGGAGTAATAGTGAGGTTAAAACTACAGTTCTGGTTAGTAGTAGTAAGCTAGTTAGATAAGGCTTCAAAGTGATGTAAATCTACCTTGACAAACGTTACCGGCTAACACAAAAGTAGGTTAGAAGTAAACTAGATGTAACCATGTGAAGTCGTGATGTTAATTTACGAAGTTACTGATCTTCGACATGAACACTGTAGGAAGATGTAGGCCTCCAGCTTGAATTGCTTTACATTGAAATCATGAATCAATCATTGTTAGATCACCATTAGAAACCTGCAGGCACTGGAAGTCTGTTTCATCCTGGTATGAGAGTCTTCATCAGCGCGCATCCGTGACTCCCCGTTTCGGCAATCCAACCCAGTAATTTTGGTTTCGTGCGCTAATGCTTAACCTCTAGACCAATGATTTAGGGGCATCCAACGGTGTTAATGTCTAACTTTGATCAGTCTAAGTATGTTGCGCAACATCATCCACTGTCTTTGGAGGTTAACTGCTTACAGACGACACGGCTGAACTGAACTCTACTGGTGACGGCTTCTCGTTGAAACTCCGAGGATTTCCTCACGAAACCAGTGAGCACAGTCATTTACAAATTCAATGTCAAACAATCTCCACGACTCGATGATGAAAACTTGAATTGTGCAGGATACTTACAGTCGATGAATGAATGATTTTGAAACGAGAGTCATAGGGCGCTGGTAAAATCTAAACCATTATTTATCTTCATGTAACTCTTCAGATTATCATTCTTGCGCAGTGGTTCTAATTACTTCCAGCCTTATATTTATGTCAAATAAAATGTAGTTTGATGTTTAATCACTTAACGTACATTTACTTTCTTGACAAAGAATTTAATTTCCTTAAGAAGTAAAATTAACTTTTTATTTGTTGAATAACAAATATTAAAGGAAGTAGTTATCCAATGAACTCATTTTAAAACAATAAACTGTATGAACTGATGATCTGTTTCTTTTTGGTTAATTATGCCAATTAATAAAATGTATGATGAGTAACTATATACATCATTTTCAATTTTTTTCACTTTAGTTGGATACCAATATGTGCTAAAGCTATTACTGAATTAAGTACTACATGGTCTCATCTACTCCCTGTTAGGGCATCGGATTCAATGGAGTTAGTCCGATTATTTTTTGCAGGTATATCAGCTTTAATGTCTGGACAATTACGTGATATTGTAAATAAATCATTACAAGATTTACTTAGGGTATTACAAATTCATCAAGTAAGTATTCTAACTTATCGGTTTCCATACTGATGTAAATTGATGTACACTTATGTTAGACTTAATGTTGCTTACAACTGATTGTATATTTACCTAAATATAATTACTAGTCTAATATAATTTGAAATAGTTTGAATTATTCCGTTGTTGATATTTTTCACTCAAATTTGATCCATTTTTGGTTAGTATATCAGCATTCTATGCGAATCGCGTCGATAAAGAGCCATTACGACACAAGTTTATATCGAATAGATAGAATGTAGGCTACAGTGTGATTGATCATCAACTCTAAGATGCAGGTACATCCAGCTACAGATTGGTCCCTAAATAGAACGAAACGCCTATCCTATATTCCATTACTAGTTATATGCTATCTATTCCATTCAATTACTTGTCACTTAAATACAACATGTTTATTCTTAGACTCTTATTGCCAATCGAAATGACTGAACAAAAAGAATCTTTACTTGTGGCATTTAGTTGTTAAATAACAGTGACACCATGACGACCACTGTTATTTTAATTCAGATTTAAAGTCTGAATTACACTGAAATACCAAAAGGTTACTATGATTGGTAATATTTAACTTCACGGTTAGTAGTAGTCAGACAACAAAAATGAACAGTCTATCATCCTCAATATCATTGCATACAGAAAGCGAGTGAAAAACAAACTGTAGATTCATGTATTTTTGTGTGAATAAAAAAAAATATAAAAATGGGAATTTCTTGGAAACATGATAATCAAACCTAATAGAAAATATTTTCGGGCAGAGTTTTGGGTTCGAATCGGGTTCGAATCCTTCTAGGTGTAGGAGTCGTGGAAGCGCACTTCTGATGAGTCCCATAACAGGACGAAACGGCCGTTTAGTGCTTCCGGGTTTCTAATGGTGGTCTAACAATGACTGACTGAAAATTTCAAATGTGTAATAGAAAATATTTAAAAAAAAACTAATTTCTAAAAGAAAATTGAAATCAATTTTTCCAGTCAAGAATTTCGCATTGGATTTTATTGATTTTCATATTAAAATACCTTGACAAGTATATATGTGATCAGATTGTTAGAAATGTATAGCGCAAATACATCACATCTTTCCGGTCAACTACGTCTTTTCATTGTTTTCTCAAACTAAATCGAAAATACAACGAATCTAAGCGACTAAATACGTTAAAGGAATTATATGAAGCGATGTCACTTATTGAACTGTGAAAACAGCAGGTGTCGAGAAAACAATCCATCAGTCACGACGATCGCATATACACACATACACATATACTTACTGACCTACTTACTTACTTACTTACTTACTTACTTACTTACTTACTTACTTACTTACTTACTTACTTACTTACTTACTTACTTACTTACTTACTTACTTACTTACTTACTTACTTACTTACTTACTTACTTACTTACTTACTTACTTACTTACTTACTTACTTACTTACTTACTTACTTACTTACTTACTTACTTACTTACTTACTTACTTACTTACTTACTTACTTACTTACTTACTTACTTACTTACTTACTTACTTACTTACTTACTTACTTACTTACTTACTTACTTACTTACTTACTTACTTACTTACTTACTTACTTACTTACTTACTTACTTACTTACTTACTTACTTACTTACTTACTTACTTACTTACTTACTTACTTACTTACTTACTTACTTACTTACTTACTTACTTACTTACTTACTTACTTACTTACTTACTTACTTACTTACTTACTTACTTACTTACTTACTTACTTACTACTCACTTACTTACTTACATACTAACCAACTAATGTCTGTTACCCCTTATGGAGTATACGCTACCGACCAGCATTATTTTTTCTGATTAGCATTTTTTTGCAGCTTACTGAATTACTACGGAACAGGGTCGCTAACTCAATCCAAACCCTCCCCCTTTACCCGACCTTGGCATCGTCAGAAACTCCAAAAGGGCTCCCTACGGAATCGTGTTAATTACCAGTCATACTAAATGTATATTAATAAGTCGATTTTGTAAAAAAGATGAAATCTTGCATTATTTCTGAAATCACTCCGATAAAAAGTCGAAATGCATAGATTTCAAATATAGACTGCTAATAAATTCAATCAGTGATAGATAATTCAGTTCTTTTCTAATCATGGTCTAAATATCATATCTGTTACATAAGTGACTGGATAAAATGAATAGGATGAAATGAGCGCCCTAGATCCGACTACTGGCCAAAACCCATTCATTTTTTTGAATACTACAAGTGTTAGCCATTTATTGTGTAATCATAAATCAATCAATGTTAGACCATCATTAGAAACCTGGAAGCACTGGACAGCCGTCTCCTCCTGGTATGGGACTCTTCAGTAGTGCGCATCCACGACTCCCGCCACTAGCAGGAATCAAACCCAAGACCTTCAGTCATGTACGTGAGCGCTTAACCTCTAAATCATTGAGCCGGCATCCAACTATGTCAATGTCTAACTCCGATCAATCCATGGTTTTGCACAGCCACGTGCACTGTCTTCAGTGAGCACTGCTTCACACTTGAACCGGATTGAACTCCACTGGCCGTCTAGTGCTTCCAGTTTCATAGTGATCGATTCATGATTTCAGAGTAACTCATAGATCTCCAGAACCCCATGATGCAAGTCATTTATTTGTACATTTCTTAAATCATGAAGTAAGTTATCCGAATAGCTTTAGTTTTTTTTCTTAATTTTCATGAAATAATAGAAGATTAAAATAAAATGCTTTGGGTTATATGTCACAAACTAGTTTAAACCTGAATGATCGACTCTTGCTGACTGACTGACTCATAAAAAACATAAAATAACACTCTCACTACAAAATTCAACAACCGACTATGACAGAGAACAAACCAACTTCCATCTGATAATAAAACTGGGAGAAGACGCTGCTGACGGATAGGATATACACTGCAAAAGTCACCAAACTGAGTCACAAGGTAAACCTTAATTTCAAATCTTCAACGACAAAGAAGGAAAGTAGGAACACTGAAGAACACATTGCACCAGGAACTTAGAAGTAGACCTCAAAAGAAATAATAGCACTTAAGAACAAATGGAAAGCAGAGCCCATGAAAAAATTGATTATATACACATACCAGGTCAACAGCCTATTATGCACAGGCGTTAGAACAATAAGCACAATTCTCAATATAAACTTGTTGATACATCCAGATTCGGGATGAAACAATTTTCAATTACATTTCAGTTTATATTGAAAAATCCGTTTTACATAAATCTTGTTTTATTGTTATTGTCATTATTATTATTTAATTTTTATTGTAGAATGAAAATAAATTTGAAGAACAATATGATGAATTGAAATTTTTACATAAATCACCACTTTTATTAAAATTACATATATCTGATCCAAAAATTATTTTTATACCGAGTTTTCAAGAAACACGAGATTGTTTATTGAATTGTTTTCAAGCAATCACAAATGCTGCAGAAAATCTACCTAGAGTAAGTGGGTCATTGAAATAGGATATCGACTAGATTTGATTTGATTTGATTTTTACTAAATCTCGATGCACGTTTATCCTTTCAACAACTCAAGGCCTGTGTTACACAAGAAATACGTACATTGGCTAATTAGGGTCGCTGAAAATTCAGTCAAGAATATCAACAACCAATCCACACAGATCTATTATTCAACTACAGTAGCAACAACTGAAGAGAAATCACCAAATCATCTGCGTACAAACTTTGTTCAAGTGAGCGAAGACACACTGCAGCACATCAACTGAAACCATCAACAGAAGCGGCATCAAAGGAACCAACAAACGGATCATCCTACCATATATAAAATACATTGGAAATTGCAGCACGACTACTGAAACCATATTTAGAACACGTGTAGCACACAATCCAACAGAATCTCTTCAATCACTCCTATGTAAACCATAGGATAAAATGACAGAAGAAGAAAAACCAAATATTATCTACAAAATAAACTGTTCAAACTGAGAAGAAAACTACACCGAACAAAGTGGACATCACTTTCAGTGAACACCAATTAACAGTCAAGCACTATGACATTTCTTCCCCCAAATCAATACATACGGACAACTATGGACACACATTCGATTGGAACAATTTTGAAATATTGGATAGAGGGAGTACAGAGATCAGTGCAGAATATTTATAAGTTTAGCAATCAACAAACACACAGACAAACATAGGGTCAAGAAACAGATCAAAAGGGGATACGATCAAAATAAACAGACAGACAAAGACAGGTTTCAGGTTAATAACAATCAATCACTATCGAGGTCAACAGAACAAGCTACGAGTTACGTGGAGAAATTCGAATACGTCGCTTCTGAAATTTGCGCTGATGATGTTGTTCAGGAAAACAATGAAAGCTCCACAACCAATAAATCCAGCTCAGAGAACCAAACCCCACCACAATAGTGATCACCATTATTCTCTAATCAGTATTAACATATCTTTCGACCTTGTAAACCGTTCGCTTATAATCTTAGTTGTTTTTTTATTTGAGTGTGTGCGCCGCTTACTTCGCTAATTACAAGTCTGGCTTATCTTTTTCTGACTTTGAATACTTAATTATGTCTAATCGCATTCAGTTGGCTCACTCGCCTTCTCCACTTCACTTCGCTTTGCTTTTACACTTTGTATTCTCATGTCTGTCTCTACGAGAACGAGTGCCTGAAATGGATTTATTGGCACAACCGTATTTTGCTTCTTATTACCACCGTCACACGAACCGTGTTCGCTTAGGTATGACATACAGAAACGGAAGACAAGATTTAGTTCACAACATACTCATTCGTTTGTCTAAGCTGGAGTCAGATCGCTGGCCACTAAAATCAATGAGCACTATTTCGAATTCAACGCCGCCAAGAAATTTCCCTTGTATCTATTTGTTGGGGATGTTAGATACCCAGAACTCGCTTGATAAATATCTTTATTTTGGATTTATTTCATGGACCGATCAATTGACCTTGAGATCACATGTCTCACCCGGAAAATCCTTGGCTGTGATTGGTTACTGTGCTATTTGAGTGTGCTATTTTTGTGACTGTCCCAGGGACGTATCTATAGAATTTTAATAAACGCAATTTGAGTGCTTGGATTCATTGTGTGCTGGCTGGGTGTTTGTAGAATAAAATTTCTACACTATATCAAGACTTCTGATGCAATTTGGTCAAGGGATCACAGTAGCCTACCTGGATGCTGGTTCATTGTTTTGTTCTCGTTATTCGACTAAGGTGAACTCGTAATAGTTTAAGCATACCTACAGACGAGCGTAACACTATTACATCATTAAACTGTAAGAGTATCATAGGTTGATACTTTATATGCAGTAATTTATTTCAACTAGAGCTTTTAGCAAATTCATACTCCTGAGACATAATAAATACTCATTCATACTTGTAATCATATCATGAACTGACATGACAGGTTGATCATGAAAACCTTAGATTGACTGGAACAAGAAAGCCTTGTGTTCGAATCCTGAGAGGTGCACGAGTCGTGGGCGCGCAGTGCTGATGCTTCACATAACAGGACAGGAACTAACGACCGTCCAGTGCTTCCAGGTTTCTAATGGTGGTCTAACAATGAATGATTTATAATGTGCAACAATATGCAGCAAACACTGATCTCCATAACTTTAATTGAGAAATATGTATCCGTTACATGCGTCATTACAATCTTACTGATTTGATTGTTTCAATATTCATATATATTTAACTGTGTATACATTTTTTTCTACGAATAGTTGTGAGTATATTTGTTTACTGTGAACCCGATTCATTACCTATTTGGAGAATAAGTAAACTTTTTTAAAAAAAATTGCTACCAAAAGTACATACCTTCAAGACATTTCCTATTTGACCTCTAATATTGCATTGTTTAAACGTAGTCAGTTTAAAAGGTATCTATCTATTCAGAGTTAAATAGAATCGATACTATACTGAATAAAAACTGTGCAACCATTAAAAAAAATTCTCTGTAACTTCTTAATAGTTAGGAACTACAATAGAAAAGTTGCGCTTCCGAATTTATTCTCTGATTTAACAAACAACAGAACATGAATTATGGATTTCTATTAGTATCAT